AAAAAGGTTTTCCAGAATGCTTAGCTATTTTGATTAGTTACATATAGCAATTTTGGTGAAGTTAAGGTGATAATGTCACATTTTTGGACGGAGAAGAAAACTGACCATATTACTTGTATAGGTAGTTGCAGTCTGTTTATATTCTTATATGCTTTATGTCATTCCTTATTTGTCTTCTAATTTTGCTTGTGGCACTTACATAGACCAGTGACACCTCGGCATTTAAGCACAACTGACATGTTTACTGAGAAACCAGAATATCCACTGAGAAAATGAGAAGCCACGCAGTGTGGTTTCTTCCATGAAGTCGGGCACCCCAGGAAAGTTTTGTAAGACTATAAGGAGAAAGAATGGTGCTTATTAAAGTCACGTGGTTTATAAAGCCCACTCGCCATCCACTGGAGAACAGGCAAGAAAGTAGACTCTGATGCAGGCGCCTGCCACATACTTCCAAATGATTTACTTTACTCTCTCTTAATTGGGTCTATGACTTTTGAAACTTCTTATTAAGCTGCAGTTTTTAAGTCTTGCCCTTGGACTTTGCATAGAGTCTAAGATCCTATAGCCAGTAGGTGTTGAGGACTTTTAAATGGCTCATCTTCTACAGTGTTTCTCAGGCTATGGATCACAGAACATTTCCCAAGGGATGGGAGCATTTTCCAAGGCATTTCCCACCCAGGTGATCTGGGCTGTGATTGGCTGGATCACCTGGGTGGGTGGTGGTGGGGAGCAATGGTTCCAAAATGACTAATCCTTATAGAGCCTGAACCAAGAATTGCTCTGCTAAGCATTCTGAACCAAAATGTTGCTCACCCAATTTTGATGACAACAGAAGCAACAGGGAAACTGACCTTCAACCATGTCCAGTGTTCAGACAGCTTGCACCATGTATGAACAGTAAGTGCAGAAGCATTTAGGCTGCTCACAGGCAAGTGGTTTGCCTCCAACTGATTTTAAATATTTTCTACTTTTTCAACTCATAATTCAGCTTTGCTTTAAGTGGCTGCTTAACAAGTTATCGGGTAAGGGTGAAGGCAGGATTTGAAGAGCTACTCTTAGGCAAAGAAGTAATTCCGAAATAATAATGGTAATAATAAGAACAGACTCTTACCGTTTATTTAACATCTAGGGATAAATAATGATGGTTGTAAAGTTAGTGAAAGAATCCAGTCAGCCTGCTTGCACAGTGCCTGACACAGCGTAAGTGCCCAGTAAATGTTAGTGTTCAGCAAGTTACTTAACTTCTGTGCCTCAATTTCCTCCTTTGTAAAGTGGGAATAACAGGAGTTCGCACCTCAGCGGGGTGCTAGTGAAGCTTAAATAAGCTCCTGTGTAGAAGGCACTTGTATGGACCAGCACATGGTAACCACTATGTGAGTGTCAGCTGTTTGTACTACAAGTGTCAAGAAATGTTCACATGAAACCAGACCCCTAGCAGAAGACTGAGGCTATTTGAAAATCCACATCCTCGCACACACACAGACTAGAAGGTATCTATCAAAATATCTATCTCTGGGTAGAAAAATTACAAGCAATTTTTGTTTTTTGTACTTTTCTATATTTTTCAAAATTTTCAACAATGAATACATAATATTTTTATAATTTAAAAAGCAAACAACAGTTTTAGAGTTGAGACTTCTTCTACTTGGCCCATGGTTAATCAAAATAGCTGAGTGCCCCAAGCCTCCTTCCACTTAATGGTTTTTCTGTGTTAAAGTCTTAATCCCCGGTCATTTGTAGACAGTCACTTAACATTTCTGCACAGTATAAGTGTTGATTAGAGTCTGTCTTCAGCGGCATTAGAACAGTGATTCTAAACTCTGGATGCATGCTAAACTCATGTGAGGAGATTTTGAAATCCACTGGTGTTGGGCTTCTCACTAGATGGATAGGTCCAAATATTTGGGGGTGGGCCCCAGGCATTGGTAGTTTTTCAAAGACTGCTAAGGTGCAGCCATGTGATGAAAAGCCACCTGAAACTAGGCTGGCATTTACACTATGTTGTTCTGCCTGGCAGAGAGTTCTGCCCATGTACAGAGCCCCCCTTCCTCTGGTGAATCGCAGACTCAGCCCTGGAAGTATTTCCCACATTGTCTGAAGGTAAGACTCCCTGGGAGTGCTTGTTAGAAATACAGCTGCCTGGACCCTAATCCAGACCTACTGAAGCTGACTTCCAGCGGGGAAGACTTAGTAATGTGTGTCTTTGACGACCCACTGGTGATTCTTACCATCGAGGAAGTGCAGGAATTCTGCTAGGCTATGCTTCTATCTCAGCCGCACACTGGGAATTCCTAGGGACCTGGAAAAACTCTGATGCTTGGTGCCCTCCTGCCGCCACGATTCTAACATGATAGAGCTAGGATACTGCCTGGGCATCGGGAGCCGTGAAGCCCCTCCGGATTCTAATGTGCAGTCATGGTTGACAACCAGCAGCAATGATGGTCCTCATAGTGAGGTGCTGGGACAGGCAGCATCGGCATCACCTGGGGACCTGTTAGAAATGCACAGGATGTTCTGTATATCAGTGAAATTGTTCGGTATTTGTCTTTCTCTGTCTAACTTATTTCACTCAGTGTTATACCTTCATGGTTTATCTATGTTGCTGCAAATAGCAGGATTTCATTCTTTTTTATGGCTGAATAGTATTCCGCTATTTAAATATACAAACAAAACCAAAACAAACTCATAGATATAGGGAACAGATTGGTGGTTACCAGAGGGAAAGAAGGTTGGGGAAGGGCCAAAGGAGGGAAGAGGATCAATTATATGGCGATGGATAGTAATTAGACTTTTAGGGGTGTCCACTTTGTAATATATTCAGATTTTGAAGGATAATGCTGTACACCCCTGAAATGTATATAATAAAAAATGCACATCATGGAGCCCTACCCAGACCTCCTGAATCAGAAACTGGGGATGGGACCTGGCAGTCTGTGCCGTGGCAACCCTCTCATGATTCCTGCACACGCTAAAGTTTAAGAACCGCTGCTGTGAGCGGGGTTGTGGAAAGCGGGTTCCTAGACTCGCTCCCCTGCAGCTCAGCCGTCTGGACTGAGCTGGGAATGGACTCGCAGCGGCCCAAGGCCACACTTGCTCTTGGGTTTACCCTTGTTCCCTCATGTATTCAGTTACAAAGGCCTTGACATCACTCAAGTATAACCAACGTCCTGACGTTCCTGTGGGCAGCCTGTTGCTGCCACTCCTGGGCCCTTGGATAGCAAGACACGTGGCTGCCTTCCAACCATAATGAGCAGGACGTGTTTTCTTTAAAGTCAACAAGTACTCTGGTTGGGAATCTATTTTTTGAAAGTACTGATCTACGTCTGACTTGGACCACCAGTCGCAGAAGCAGAGAACTACATGTTTCTTCCGTGTGCTTCCTCCCTTGGTGTAACTTCCGTGCCTCTTTGTTTTGTAGGTTTTGTCATCAGCCCATGCTAGCGTGGTCCTCTCAGCCTCAGAGCAGTCACAGCCACGCCTATTGGAGAAGAGGACAGGAGGTCAGTGGCTTGCCAAGTCCAAGGGACCGAGAAGACCTGGAGGTCAGAGGAATGGCCCAAGCCCACAGTCTGCCCGTCCACGCGAGGGAGGGTCTATGGGAAGTTGGAGGAAGGACAGAGAATGTGATGAAGAAAGCAGTTTGGGAAGAAGAGCTGAGAATGGCGGGTCCTGCCAGGTGGCAGAATGTAAGCCTGGAAAGCTGGAACCAGCCGAGGAAATTAGGGAGGCAGATGTCTGATGGTGGCGGGGAGAAGCTGTTTCAAGATCTGTATCCATTCATACGAGGAGAACATGTGCTGAATTCCCAAAGCAAAGGCAAATCCCGGTCGTTGCCTAGAGTTCTCTCTCCCGAGAGCTTGAGTTGCATGGACATTCCGTTAAGTGATGGGCATTTGCCAGGTGCCCCTAAAACGCAATTTTACCCTCCAAATGGTGCACCAAATTTGGAATCCACCAGGAACCCCGAGAAGGGTGGCTCCTGTGTCCCTTTATCTCGGCCGAAGTTTGGGAGACCCCTCAAGCCTCCATCCTATGATACCCGCCCACATCCCAGGGGAGGAGTGGAAAACAGCGACTGTGTGGACAGCCAGCAGCCAGACCTGAGTATTTCCTACCTGACCAGAACTGCCGACCCCAGGCAGGAGCTCTGCCTGCCCGACTCTGGTTTGGAGCCTCCGGTGTACGTGCCTCCACCATCGTACAGGTCACCACCCCAGCACATCACAAACCCCTACTTGGAGGACGTGGCGCCCAGACCTATGTGTGATGATCATCGTCATCCAATCGAGGAGGCTGCTGCCAGCTGTCAGCTTCCTCCTGGCTCCCTCGGGGGTGGGAGTCAGTACGGTGCGAGCCCACGCTCTCCCCGAAGTTTCCCGCAACAGCCCCATCTCACCACTGCCTACGACGGCTCTGTTCTGTACATCCCCTTTGACGACCCACGGATACGACACATTAAACTAGTCCCACCCCAGGGTTTCTGTGAAGAAACAAAGGTGGACGAGAAATTGTACCGCTCTGGTCCGGTCTCCACCCCAGAGCCAGCTCATGGCTGCATGTACCGGGATGGTGCCATTCTGAACCCGGAGAGCATGATGTCCCCATCAGGGAGTGAGAGAGGCCCTGCCTTCGGCCATCCCAGCCCCCGGTGGCTGTGGGGCCAGCTCCCCAGGGATGGAGAAAATGGTGGCTTTCCTGACCAAAGTGACCACTGTGTTATGAGAGGACAGTGGCCTGACGTGAGAGGCGGCCAGCGCGGACAAGCAGAGAGCCAGGTCTCCGCTCCAGACCCACAGGGCGAGAGCACCTGCGAAACCCGAACCAAGCTCAAAAAGTTTGAAACCGGGATTCAGACCAAGAAAAGTTCAAAGAAAAAAATGAACGAGACGATATTTTGTTTGGTTTCCATCCCAGTTAAATCAGAATCACATCTGCCAGATATAGATACCAACAACAATGACTTAAAACAGAGTGCTGATAAAAAGCACGGGCTCGATAAGACCACAGTTCTGCAGGAACAAAGCTTGCTGAGCATGTCTTCCACCGACCTGGAGCTGCAAGCTCTCACAGGAAGCATGGCTGGGAGAACAGAGTTCCAAAAACAAGATCTAGGGGAACCAGAAGACAAACAAACAGATGACCTCAGATTTATTCACCCTACGAAACACAGAGAACTCAAGTATTCTGGCTCGTGGCCAGGGCACCAGTACAGAGATCAGCAAACACAAACTACTTTCGCCGAGGAATCCAAAAGCCTGCAGCCCCTCCCTGGTGAGAAGTCAGGAGAGTCACCTAATGCACTGCTGACTCCAAAATTCCTAGACCCTTCTGCCTCCACAGCCCAGAAGCACATGGTGTTAGCTTCTAGTGACCAAAACCAGAGGCCAAATGCTCATCATCCTAAAGGTCAATTGTCCCTGCACCCTTCCAGCCACAGTGCTTTTTCAAGGACTAGCTCGTCCATAAACCAGGCCCCTGTGCCAAAAGCAGGCCAGAGCCAGCCCTGCGTGGACGGCCGCGGACATGGAGCCAGCCCCATGCCCAGGGGCGAAGTGGTGAAGGGGGCGACCACGGGCCCGTGCAACAGTCAGCAGCCGTTTGGTCAGTTTCTTTTAAAACCAGTTAGCCGTCGTCCCTGGGATCTGATAAGTCAGCTAGAAAGTTTTAACAAAGAGCTTCAAGAAGAGGAAGAGAGCAGTCAGAGCAGCAGCGGCAGTGAGGACAGTGAGGCGGAATGGCAGTTGGAATGGCACGCCGACGCCACGCCCGAGAACTTGGGCTTCAGTGAAGACAGCCAGGAGAGGAGAGAGGCGGGACCTCCGAGGAGGCTGGTGCCGGAGGAGCCCGGGTGGTGCGGGAGAGTTAAGAGTAAGTCCGAGAGCTGGAGTGAGGAGCAGAAGCCCGCAGCCCTCCGCCCGGAGGCCCGTCCTCTCTCCCCGGGCCCCTCACGGGCAGCAGACAGCAGAGGCGAAGCATTGCTGTCAGCCCACGGACGCTTGATTACAGAGAAGAGAAACCAGGAGGTCGAGAAAAGAATGAAGGAGCTAGCCGTCAGCCCAGGTCCCGTGAAAAGAATGATGACTTCTAGGCCACGTGACACAAAACCAGTGCCCCCATCCGGTCCAGCTAAACTGAGGGAGCCCCAGGAAAGGCAGGAACTCCCCAGTGTTTCAAGTTCTACGGAGCTGAGCAAAGCAACCCCGCCGAAGGCGGGGGAGGAGGGTGCCACCGTGGTCCCCCTCTCTCTTGCCAGCAAACCCCGAGGCCTCTCGGCACCCGACTTGAGGTCTGTGGGGCTGACCCTGGCACAGGAGCGGGGTGCCAGTAAGTTTTATGAGTCTTCAGGTAAAGCGAGTGCGCTAGAAATCCCCCCAAATGAGTCCCTTCAAGCTCGGGCTGTGAGGATCCTGGGCATCGAGGTGGCCGTGGAGTCCCTGCTGCCAGGCACCAGGAGAACGGGACAGAGCCAGCCCACTGAGCCCGATGGCAGTGCCCAAAGGCCAGCGTCCCCCAGGGAGGGGCCGATGTCCAGCCCATCACAGCCGGATGACCCCACAGTGTCCGCTGATGCTTTTTATGGCAGGAGAAAGTGTGGCTGGACGGAAAGCCCTCTCTTTGTAGGGGAAAGGGACAGTGCCCGACGGGCTCCCTGGGCTTCTGAGGGCTCCAGTGTGGACGAGGCTGTCCCCAGCAAGGCCCCCGACCTCGAGCCTCAGCCCAGCACCCAGGAGTCCAAGCCCATCATTCACAAGGGCGTGGGGACAAAACCACCCTTCAGGTCCACTTTGTTCCACTTCATAGAAAGGACTCCGAGCGTGGCAGGCTCGGAAAAGAGGCTGAGAAACACTTCCAAAGTGATTGAAAGTTTACAAGAGAAACTGGCGTCCCCGCCCCAGAGAGCTGACCCTGACCGCTTGATGAGGATGAAAGAGGTGAGCTCCGTGTCTCGGATGAGGCTGCTGAGCTCCCAGAGCGCTGACTCCATGGAGGAGGCGGAGGAGGCGAAGGCCGAGAGGGGCCCAGGACTGCCGCCAGGGAACCTGGTGTCTCTGCCCACCTGGAACCTGGCTCGGAAGGCGGGAAACGGGCTCTCCGCCTCCAAGGGCACCTTCCCGCAGGAAGGAAACGGGCATCTGGCAGCAGGAAGGGAGAAGAGAAATGCGGACCAGGACTTCTGGTGCCCAGGTGAGGAGTCAGGAGAGCGGGCAGGTGTTCAGTGTTAATTTGGTGTCCTTGGGGCATAAAAAAATACCAGATTGGTGGAAAATGAAAACCTGTATATTCAGGAAAGATCAGGTTGACCTTGTGAATTATTGAAACAAAAGATTCTTCATTTCACAAAGAATTATCTAGAAGCTTTCCTTAAAAAAAAAAAAATCAAGATCTTGTAGCGTGTTTTAAATCTTGTAGTTTATTTTTAATCTTGTAGTGTCTTTATAAAAATTATCTGTGTAGACAACTATATAAAATTATCCACATAAACAACTTTTTGGGCCCCTTACTGCAAAGAGGGAATCCATACAGTATCCGGCTTCGGTGCGGGCATCTTGATAAACCTTGTAGGAGGTCGTAGCCTTCGCATCTCCTAAAATAACAAGCATTCACCCAGATAACCCCCATTGCTCCCTATTACCTAATAAGAAAAGATATACCAGGTTGGTTAAATAAACTACCCGCCCCATGATGCTGTGTCTCACTTTTCCACCTTTCAAACTTCTTCGCCCCTCATTTTTATCGGTTTTCGCTACCACACCATTTATGAAACTTTAGTAGGTAAAATTAATAGTTTGCACTATCTTACTACCGCACCCCTAAAAAGTTCACTCACTCATTAACTCTGTTTCTTAAAGTCCTCTAAGTTCTGATTTTGAAATCCCAGGTGAGATAATTTTGGCACCAGCATCCTGCAGGCCCCTGGGCTCTCCATCCTCTCACCTTAACGTGTCTTCAGAGCCTTCTTCGATACATGACGTTCACAAGGCAGGTCCCCAGTGACAGTAACAGTGATTTTCCCCAAATGCAATTTCACTGTTTTGGCTTTGACACCGTTTTGGCTTAGGCATTTTTCTTCAGGGGCTGGGGATTATCAATTATATGGCTTAGAAATGATTAAAAGAAGAGGTGAGGTAGTTATCAAAAGGTATCTGTCATAAATCACAGAATGGAAGGGACCTTAAATCGCTACAGCAGGGAGAAGACTGTGCCCCCGTGAGGTGAGTGTGGGAGAGCCCTCAGACCCCAGCTGGACTTCTGAGCCAGGCCCTCCCACCCAACAGGGCGGTCACCCCTGCCCTGCTTCTCTGTTTCCTATTTTGATCCAAGAATGGATTTATTTATCTATTTACTTTTTCCATGAGGACAGAAGTCATCTAAACATCTCCATTTTTAGAGTTCAAAATGTCAGTATTTCTTTCAGCTTCCTCTCTCTTCCAAATAGGTTTGAACTTAGTGGTGATTCTTATTTATTTCACACATCCCCCCACCATCAGCAGCCATCAGCTTGTTCTCTATATCTATGGATCTGTTTCTGTTTGTTTTGTTTTGTTTTCAGATTCCACATATAAGTGAAATCATATTAGTATTTGTCTGACATTTTTCTGTCCTACATTTCATTCAGCATAAGGCCCTCAGGGTCCATCCATGTTTTCACAAATGGCAAGATTTTCTTTTTTTGTGGTTGAATAATATTACATTTGTGTGTGTATCAGATTTTCTTCATCCATTCATCCATCGATGGACACTTAGGTTGCTTCCATGTTTTGGCTATTGTAAATAAAGCTGCAATGAAATGTGGGTGGATATATCTTTTCAAGTTAGTATTTTCATTCCCTTCACATAAATACCCAGAAGTTTGTCTTTCTCTGACTTGTTGCACTCAGCTTAATACCTTCTAGGTACGTCCATGTTGTCACAAGTGGCAAGATTTTATTCTTTTTTATTGCTGAGTAATTTCCTATTTTATATAGGTACCACCTCTTCTTTATCCATTCATCCCTTGATGAACATCTAAGTTGCTTTTCTTGGCTATTATAAATAATGCTGCAATGAAGATAGAGGTCCATATATCTTTTTGGATCAGTGTTTTTGTTTTCTTCGGATACATACCCAGATATGGAATTGCTAGGTCATATGGCAACTCTGATTTTAATTTTTCTGAGGAACCTCCATACTGTTTTCCATAGCGTCTGCACCAATATACAATCCACCAGCAGTTTATTGGTGTTCCCTTTTCTCCACATCCTCCCCAGCACTTGTTATTTGTTGATTTTTTTTGATGATGGCCATCTGACAGGTGTAAGGTGATACTTCATTGTAGCTTTAGTTTGCATTTTCCTGATGGTTAGTGATGTTGAGCATTTTTTCATATGCCTGTTGGCCATCCATGTGCCCTCTTTGGAGAAATGTCTATTCGGGTCCTCTGCATATTTTTTAATTAGATTGTTTGAATTTTTGGTGTTAAGTTGTATGAGTTTTTTATATATATTTTGCTTATTAACCTCTTATCGAATGTGTCTTTTGCCAATATCTTCTCCCATTCAGTAGTCTGTTCCTCTTGTCGATGGTTTCCTTGGCTGTGCAAAACCTTTTTAGTTTGATGTGGTCTCATTTGTTTTCTTTTGTTGCCCTTGCCCGAGGCGATATATCCTAAAAGATACTGCTAAGACTGATGTCAAAGGGTGTACTACCTGTGTTTTCTCCGAGGAGTTTTATGGTTTCAGGTCTTACATTTAAATCTTTAATCCATTTAGAGTTTATTTTTGTATACGATGTGAGAAGTTGATCCAGTTTCATTTTTTGCATGTATCTATCCAGTTTTCCCAGCACCTTTTGGGGAAGAGACTGTCTTTACCCCATTGTATATCCTTGCCTCCTTCATCCTAGGTTAATTGACCCTACGGTTGAAATAAGGTTGAAATCCAAGGATTTAAAAGTAGATGGAAAAGATCGCCCTTTTCAGCCAGAAGAATTCAGAAAATTTTTTTTTTAAATAAAAAATCTACTTGGCACTTCTTAAATTTTCCCAGAAATGCAGCATGATTCTTAGGAGTGTTAGCTAATGTTGCTTTGTTCCTTAGGAAAATATGACATTATTGAAATAACTGATTTGTCAGGGTCCTCTGGTATCATCTCATTTGATAAATTTGGTCTTTGCTGAGGACAAGAATACTAAGAATGTGGAACCTTTGCCATTATGGTGGAAAAACTGTTATGTGGCCCATTTTTTGAGCTGTGGAGATTTATTAGGCTTCAGTGTGATTCTTCCTCCCCCAATGCCCCCCAGAACATGCTCACTTGCTTTTAAGTGCTAGTTAAAAAGACATCGTAGGCTTTTAAGTTAAGGATGATTTCATCAGTCCTAGCTTGTCCTGAAAATTATAAAGATTTTAAAATAAGACACATCCCATTAAAATAAAACATCAGTTTGTAAAGATTTCTATGTCTCAGTCCATGGCCACATATCTCAGGCAGTATTTTAGAACATAAAATTTTTTAGTTCAATATTTTGTTGAAATATTTTCAACAATATTTTGTTGAAAATTTCTTGTTTAATAGAATATTTAGATTCCGTCGTTTTTAGCGTGACCATTTGGGGCATGAATGAAGTGGATAGGTATCTGAAAATACCTACATAATGCCAATTTAAATTTTAGTCAGCCGTTAAAAACACCTCCCCCATGACCTTATTATTTTTCTATTTTTTAAACCATAGTTACTGACAGGTAGAAATTTTTTTTTCTCCTTTTCTTCTAATGCATTTGTTAATACATAATAAAATGACCAAAAATCCAAAGGCAGAGAACTACTCATGATGACAGCTACCTCGGGCATTCTTAAGTCACTGCATGACAGATTACCATTAGGGAGGGTTTCTTACAAACGCAGTGGCCCAGGTGAACCTCTGTTGGCCTTTCATGGGATGGCCATCAGGCCTCAATATTAAAACTGGTCCTTTAGAGAGGTCATATGACTGCAGCAGTAAAACTTTTAACATGTTAAATTTTCTACTCTGTTGCTTCACAAATTAGAATAAAGCCTTGTAACTTTGTTGCCAATAAACTTTTGGACTTCCATTTTCTTTGATACATTTTATCATTTTAAGCATAAAGATCTGTTCATGGCCATGCTACCCTGAACAAGCCGGATCCTGTCTGATCTTGGAAGCTAAGCAGGATCAGGCCTGGTTAGTACTTGGATGGGAGACCACCTAGGAAGACCAGGTGCTGTAGGCGTAAAAAATAAGGGATTGTAAACTGACAAGGTCCTGTGAGGTCAACCAAGGGTTGCCTCACCTAAAAAATAAACAAATAAACACAAGGATCTTTATCTCCATCCCAACCTCACCCCTACCTTTGTCACCTCAAGGGGCCAATACCAGTTTACTGCTCCTGAAGGCACAGCCCACTTAAGTTCAGATTTTGTTCTGGAATTTTCAAACAATAATGTATCCCCACCCCCCATACACACACCCTCCATAACTTCATTATCTATGTTGTATTGTGGTACCTGTCGTATCATAAAGTATCTTTATTTCAGCTTAAAGATGGGCATTGTAGCTAATTTCTTTTCAGTGGTCTTTTTGGGCTCTGGCTAAGAAATCAGCAGCTCAAAACCGATTCCGGTGACATCTCTACTGGGTGGGTTATGTTTCAGATCAGAATATAATCCCAGGCACTGATAGAGTTCAGGACCTGTTGGTTCCATCAACTTCCATTGTCTCCCCTCTTAATACCAGTACAAGAAAGAACAAGGAGAGACTGTCTGCCTCAGGCCTCAGTGGGGAAAATCTGGGATGGTTGCATGATGCCACAGAATGCTGTTAGAAGGCTAAGTGTCAGCACTGCTTCCAGGGCGGGAGCTTTCAGGGGTGCTCATACACGAGCTCTCCACCAGGGCAGGCCTTAGGCCTTAGTGATTCGTCTTCACCCGAAATATTGCTGACAGGAGCCAGGATTCCAAATACTCGGGTAACCAGCCTGTTCTCTGGACCTGGGCTGGCCAATGGAGTAGTCCCCTGTCAGTCATCTATGGCTCCTGAGCTCTTGAAACGTGGCTCATCTAAATTGAGATGGGCTATGTATATAAAATATGCACCAGAGTTCAAAGGCATAGTACAAAAAAAAAAAATTTCAGAATTTCTCAGTGATTTTTATTTTGATTACCTATTGAAATGATAATATTTTGGATATATTTGATGAAATAAAACACATCATTAAAATTAATTTCACCAGTTTCTTTTTATTTGCTTCACCATGGCTACTAGAAAATTTAAAATAGTGTTATGTGGTTCATGTTATATCTTTATTGGACCTAGACGCTCCGTGATCTGAAGAAGGGGCTGTTGTACAGAATTCTTGTCCTGCTCTCTGTCCCTGAGCCTTTAGCTTCAACAGTGGGGCACTGGGGTGCAGGCATGTTCTGTGGACATGTCTCTATGTACCTGGCCATGAGAAAGCTGGCCAGTGCCCAGCATCTGTGTAATCTGAGGCTTAATAGATGCTCAACCTTTTCTAGGTCTCTCAGCCCCCGAAACATGCGCTTTCCGCAGTGTCACTCATCGGTGACCACCCACCTTATTCTCAGTGGAGAAAAAGACATCTCTGCTGAAGGCAGTCCCTCTCAGTATCAGCTCACGGTGAAGCTGACTGAGCACAAGAATGTGGCGCTCAGCTGCTAACATCCTACATCGTTCCACTGGGTAGTGTTATGTATAAGAGCTCAGAGGGCACTGACTCACATGAACGCTGCCTGCTTTCGCAGATGGGCAGTAAATCACATTTGAGAAGCAACAGACTCCTGTCCCCAAATGCAGGACTGTCATATCTGGTTTATAATGAATGACTCAGAGTGCTCTAAACGCTGTCTTGGCTGTCACACTTGTAGTATCAGATCATAAATATATCATGGCTAAGATGAGAAGGTGTAAGGAGGATGTGCTGCTAGAGAAATTGGAATCTGTGTGGTCATAATCATGCACAGTGTCCAGATGACTTGAGAAGAGATTGTAATAGTTTTTATAGCTATCGAATTGTATCATCCTTCCAGATTTCTTATGGGTATTTTCTTAAAAAATTAAGAAACCTGTGAGCTGCTGTGGCAGGAATTTCTGAACATAGGAGGCAGGCGTGTGAGCTTCAGGTTTGCCTGGGCCCAGAGGCCTGTGAATCCCAGGTGATCAGACTTAGTCCCGCTGGCTGCAGCACTAATGGCAGTTTAGGACTATTGCTTTTTTTATATGGTGTTCCGATTGGGAAACCCAGGATACCTGGGTGGGATTTTCTATTGTAGGCTATAGCAGTGATCCCCAACCTTTTTGGCACCAGAGACCAGTGCTCCTATGAGAATCTAATGCCTGATGATCTGAGGTGCAGCTGAGGCGGTGATGCCAGCATTGAGGAGTGGCTGCAAATACAGATGAAGCTTGCTCGCTCCCCGGCCCGCCGCTCACTTCCTGCTGTGAGGCCTATTTTTTAACAGGCCATCTACCTGACCCATACTGGTCAGCGGCCTGGCGGTTGGGAACCCCTGGTTATAAGATGGATCTGTGTGGCAGCGCTACCTGCTGGCTGGTGTAGGTCAGAGACAGGAGGCCTCTTATTAAGGTCACACAGTCAGAATTTCAGGTCCCCAAGTCTTCCAGGGACAGCATTTATCACAAAGACACACTTTAAAGCACACTTTCATTAGAGTTTAATTCATAAAAAAATAATGAAACAGTCCCTAGCATCAGCCACTGCCTGTTATCACGCATTGCTTTTAAAGTTGATTATGTTTATTATGTTTCACATTTTTCCATCTGTGATTAGGTAATGATCATATAGGTCCCTATAACACAGCCTTTTGTTAATAGTTTTTTTAGTTCTTAGTGAAAAAAACAAGATTGCTAAAATGTCTAAAAATGAACTTGTTAGTTTCATAGTTTCACCTTTGTGGATTCGCTCCCTAATTGTTTATGGCCTGAGGATTAAGCAGAAAACAGACCAGTTGAATATCTCACTGATTTTCTTTTCTATCATTTCTTTTTTGCAGATTCATACGACCCTAGCAGAGTGGAGAGGGTGTGATGAGCTGCCGCTGAGGTGCGGGCTGCCGCATTAGTTAATTGAGTGATCTCTGATTTTGCCTGTCAGCCGGCTTGCCTGTGTATCAGCTGGAAACTGATACACTCTGCACTGTGACATCCGTTACCGCTGCCACCAGGAAACACGTCATCCCTACAGAATAGCTTTGTGGAAATAAAGCAGTCGTCCGTTGAAACCATCTGTTTTTATAGCATGAAGAGTTAATACCTATATTTAGAAAAGAGTCACCCAGACTCTCCTCAGTGATGGATTTAGCCATCATGGTTCAATGTGGCAATTTGAACATGGATGACATAGTGAATGATTTTGAAAGGACGGTGAATGTCATAATTTCCCCTTTGCATTTCCAGGGCTGGCTGTCCATGCTCATGTCATTGCCTAGTGTGTCTGCACTTTGAGTTTAGGGAAATGTGAATGAATATATCTGATCCATTTCTAATCAATTTGGCCTTCTGCTGCTGGAAGTAACTTTACTTATTAAAAGCAATATCTTTTAAGTCCCTAAAACTTGTACTATAATGTACTAAGAGTATTATTTATCCGGTAATGAAATGCTTTGATCGTTTGCAAATATGCCATCATCTGCTTTGCACTCAGTATTAACTATCTATTTTTATTTCCTGTATGGATGTTTAGAAATTCTTTATATGAAAAATAATTGCTGGTTTAAAATAGACCATTTTAACAAAGTAACTATATTTCTTTTTATAAAATGCTATTTTTCTATGATGTAAACAGTTGTTAGGTGGCAGATTTTTAAGGAAGTATTATTTTATTTAAGAGTCTGTATCCCTTTGTGTGAGAGGGACCCAGAGAGGGTTCACGCTTGCTTTAAGCATACATCCCTTACTTTTCACAAAGAATTTTTTACTAATGTAGCCGTAAGGTTATCTGTGGAAATAACCCTCTCAAAACTCGCCAACATCCCTATGACAATTTTTGCTTCCATATCCACTAAAGTTACCAAAAAGTATCTTTTCACCTTTGGGGGATCTGTGGAGATCTGCCCTGAGATTATACTTTCCTCTTCCCCACCCCCTGCCCCTTTAAGAAATATGTATTTTTATCTAGAATGATCCTTAATTGGTCTCTGCAGATTTTTTAAAGTGCTAAAGATATATGTATGCCATTACAAAAGCATTATGAGGCCTATGTATTCTGCTGTGTTTACTATTGCATTAACCTGCACAAAGGTTTTACATTTTTTATGCATTTGTCCCTTCTTTCTAAGTAAGGTATTCTTGTTAGCTGACAGATTTTTTGCGTGGTTTCTTGTCTCCTACCACCCTCCCTCCCTTGCTTTCCTTTCCTTTCCTTCTTTCTTTCTTTTTTTTTTTAATTTTTGAGAAACCACCTTATCTATTTCTAGACATTTCAAATTCCTAAACTGTGAATTGTTGGGTGGTCTACAATTTGGCCCTAAAACGACTCCGACTGGATTTTCATGGCCTGTTTTTATCTGTACCATATGATTTTATTTCATAAGAACTTTATGTATTTGGACTGTAATAAACAACACAGAACCTTAAGTAATTCTGAAAAATCTTTTCAGATATGCTTCTCTGCAGTCTTGGTTCTTACCTATTCCTCACAGTCACTTCTTTTCAGATTTTAGCTCTCGTTTTCACAACACGATGAAATGGGCCACGTCTCCACTAAAAATGGTTGAAACTGTTTTCCCAGGAAGAGTTTAGTAGGGAAGAAGTCGATTACTCTGTCGTCGTTGGTGAATCACTTAAGTCTTCCGGTAGAACTCAGTAGAACTCAGTGAGGGTGGTTACCTGGAGGTGTTGTGGGGGTTCTGCTTCCCTCTTTAAATGCAAGTGGAAAAAAGTATATGTGTGTATATGCAGATATATATGTGAATATGTACATTTGGCGCGCACACACATACATATATATATTCACACACATATTTTAACTCTATTCTGACTTCCTTTTAAATTTTATTGATCCCAACTTAAGACTTCTTTTAATCAAAAGAATTAAATTTTAGCTTATTCCTCAAGAGAAAGACAAGGATCCTAAAAAGAAAAAATTAGTGTACCTTTTATGTAGCACAAACAAACTAAAATACAATACTCTTCTGTTTTGTTTTATTCTAAATTGTTGCATCACGGCTTTCTGAAACCATTTTGAATTTAGTTGAAATTATTAATATTGATACTTTTAACCTTAATTTCTAGAAATCGGCCTACATAGAAATCTTTTTGGGGGAAGGTAACTCTGAAAATTTGACTTTTAAACTTGCATATTCTGAGGCAAATAATCCAGTCTCTAATCAAAAGTAGCTTCCCCAGAACTTAACGCTAATTATTATTTTATTATTCATATTTCTCATATGTACATAACTCTCTGTTATTATTTGTGGCTGGAAAAAATTCATATTTTGTGTTTGTCATTGTTTTTCTCATATGTATGACTTATTTTTGGTGTTTAATCATTTGGGCGGTTATAAAATTAAAGTTCTAATTTTTACCATTTGGACTAAAAATTACATGAGGAATTACATATGAAATGTATTTGTATTTCTTAACTTGCAAAAGAAGGGGAAAATGTTGGTCATGTAGCTCTAATTACCTTTTGGAAGAAAATTTTCGAATGATTGAAAACCAAATATCTTTATCATCATTTTCGACTTTATGTTTCCGCAAACCACAGAAAACTCCTCCCCAAAATGCACAGCCCGACTGCATCTTCAGAATTCTTTTCCATGTTTTTCATAATTATTTGGATTTCCTTAAGAGTCCCTGCGAGATCTCATCTACTCTCTGAGATCCTAGTGTCCATACTAGAATTATAGGTTGAGGTTTTGAATCATGTGGAAATGCTAAGTGGATCTTTTCCTATTCCAATTGACTGTTGGCGAAGGATTGTTGTTAATAGAAGTTCAAGTGCTTAAACACCAACGACTCTGAAACTAGACCCTGACCACCTTTTGCGGGAGCAAAATGACTTACTCTAAAGCAGTTCGGTTTAGAACTTCTGAGGAAAAATGATGAGCTGATCCACTGTTGGCACAGCTACTTCCCAGCTCTGAGCGTAATGGACTGATGGAAGATGGGACTAACCTGACATTTCGTCTGTGACCCCCAGAGATTATGTATGTGTGTTTTGGCTATTTTTTGTCATCGTTTTGTTTAAAATGATTAAATAATAGACAGTTGTCAAGTTAACATCTTTTAGAAGATGACCAGTGCAGCAGAATTCTCTCTCTAAATATGTGAGCTTAGAGAAACAGTTCCAATTTTCTAAGTTCTTGTGAGCAGTTGTTTTAGTGTTTGGGCCATTGTTCTGCCAGACTCCTCTTTGCAGGGGAGATGAAGTTTGAGGGATAGAGTGAGGGGTGGGAGTGAGTTTCTTAAGCTGAAGCTATTATAGTAGGCCTTGGGGATTTTTGCATTTTCTTTCTGTTTTGCTTTTCGCTGCAGATTCTGTACATCTGTTTGTGGGAGGAGAGTTGCTACTCAGAACAGGATTTAAGAGACACATTGCAAGTGACCTCTGAGATTCTGCACGTGGGAGGTCCTTTTCCCGGAGTGTGGGTTGGTCCACTCTGGGACCCACCAAGGGAAGAAGGGGGAGATGATAAAATAGCATTAAAAAAGAATGGTCTCGAACCTGTACGTTAAGGAGGTAGTTAAGACTAGTTAAGACTGTAATTCAAATGGAGGCCCCTTGGGAAGGTCGCTGTGGCCTAGCAAACGGCCCGTCGAAGCGGTCCTTGGGGTCGTCGGCAGTGCGGCAAGGCAGGCAGAGCGCTCGCGATTCCAGGCTTTGACTCATGAGAGCCCCTGTCACAGTCGTGTTTACTGCGGAGGACAGGGAGGTCCTCGTGCTGTGGCCTCTGACTGAAACCTGAACTCCAAGGCAAGCCCAGCTTTCATCCCAAAGCCTTGACTGGGGAGGAGGAGGAGCGCTGTCCACAGAGCTAGCATCCTGCCCGTGCGGAAGCCAGGCCCGCCGGGACTTGCCGCGGAGCCACGGGGGCGGCGGTCCCTCTCCTGCTTCCCTTCCGGCCGCCCTGTGCCAGGGCTGCGATGTGTGCCACTCGTGTCACAGAGCGAGAGGGGGACAAAGGCAAGTTCAGGTCGGGAAGCACATGGCAGAACAGAAGTGAAGACCGCATGTCCCAGCCAAGGAGAAAAGCAGTGACCCACAGATTATAAAAATCAATGAGGTGCACACTCTCCACCTGAGTCAGCTGAAATTCAAGCCCTCACACTCAGTCCTCACAGGAAAGCTAAGCAGAAACATCTCAAAAAAAAAAAAGAACAAGAACTTCTAAAATTTGGTGAAGACAAGACCCTGTAACCCCACAGAAACTTCGCATCTGTTCAGCACTTCTTTGGGCACCATTAACATCCAAGGGAGGTAGAGAGGGTCCTGGGAAAAAGACAAATGGTAACGGCCGGTAGCCAGCTGTGGTCATAGCCTGAGGAGAGGCGGTACCAGAGGCCTTAACTGATGAGAGGTGAAAGTGGATGAAGACTGATCACACCAGCAAAGCAAAGATGAATGTCTTCGAGGAGCTCTTGTATTTCTCTGCACAATGTAAAGACTCTTGCAACTTCAGGATGGCTGACCTGCTCAGTAACACACATGTTCCAAATAAAGATTTTGCATGAAAGTGCCCATGTCCATTGTTTCTGGCTATGGGTGAGAGCTGCCCTGTAAGCCTGGAAGGCTGTCCCCAGAGGGCAGCAGGGGCACAGCTCAGATGGCGTTGGTAATATGGGGCAGGTGGCTCAAAGAGTCCCAGCACCTTTGGGCATTAAAGCTTCTCTTTGCATCTCCCACAAAGGATGGCCGATGTGGTGGAAAAAGGCATAAGATCCATTTGGGAAATGGGTTTGAGTTTTGGCTCTGTCACTAACCATGTGGCCTTGCACATGTCCCTTCCCCGGCTCCTGTTTTCTCATCTGCTTCTCTTACTCCTTGAATTTAAGAATCAAATGCATAGAATAGTCCCTGGCACACTGTGGGTATTCAGTGCATGGAAACTGAATGTAGACCTGCATCTGACGGAGAAAAGGCAGCGTGGAGGTTTTAAATCCAGGCCTTGGTCTTCATTTAAAGATTTATCTCTATTTCTAGTATCACAGTTCTGGAAGCAGAGGCACATTCGGTACCCATCACGCTCTCAGTTTGTTTCTAGTAGCCCAATAAATATACAAGCTGTTATTTCTGAGTTTTAAAATATTTGCTTCTTTCCAACTTAAGCTCCTTCTCTTTCCCATTAGCCTTTGCAGACGGTTGTCCTTGTCCTCCTTGCTTCCACGTGTGTGCATCTCACAGCTCAATTCTTCTAGGGCCCTTGCAGATGTCCGAAATTTCAGACCATGTTGAGATGTGGGTTTTAAACTAAGAGCTATTCCCAACTGGTTGACAATTGAATCCACATATTAAAATATAGCTGAAAAATCAATCCCTTGACCAAATTAATGCTATAAGATGAAATACATGACCTAGTAATCAGGGGTTCTAGTCCTAGGCCTGGCTCTGCATTACAAGCAGTGACCGTGGCCACCTCCCCTACTGTCTCTGAAACACTTCGCATGTAGAGAAAAAGTGGTTTCTTGCATATATATATAAAGTTTATATATAAGGTTTATATATATATATAAACCTTTGAGTCCTGGTAGGGTCCAAGGGTAAAATGATTTGAAAGCTACGGCCATACATGGTCCTTTTCCCATTCCAATAACTGATCACGCTACTCTCTCGCCATAGCTGTGGACCAGCCAAGGGACTGACAGTATTGAATTCTCTCCAAACACATTTTTCTTAGGTTGGAGTAGGGCACTGGGGTTTTCATGAGCTGGGCAGTCAGTGTCTATATAGACTGCTTTGATCACAGTTTTGCTGCTTGGGGTCCTTTAAATGCACTTAGGTTCGGAGATGTTTGGGTCTCACCATCTACGCTTCTAAGCGTACCCTACACATAAATCTTACCCCAGGTGGTCAGCTTGTATTTCACAGGCTGGAAATACTGTTGGTCACCCCATTGCTTGGCATTTGGGGGGCAGTAGCTCCATGGAAAACTAAGCAACAGTCCTCCCAGGCCCAATAGGCCTTCGGTTTGGCTTCACCTGGAGAACCCAGCTCCTACTTGAGCTACAGAAGGTTTGTTCCTGATCACATAGATGCTCCATTTACTGTTTTTATCTCTTGGCTGCCTCCCTTCATCCTGTGCTTCCTGCTGTGTTAACTGTGGGTGTTTTTACCTCATCTAACCCCGCTGGTGTATTTCTAAGGTTATAATAGCAGGGTCACCTTGTGGAGAAGTAAACCCAGAGGTACATTTACCTAGAGTTTCTTCGGAGTGTTTAAAACAAATGCTCAACATAGGGATGCGAGGAACACAGGGAGACGAATGTCGTTGGGTCCCCACTATGTTCCAGGTATGACACGTGCATCGATTAACTTAATATTGTTTTACAAAAGACAAATGGGTCCCGAGAAGACAAATAATTGCTTGCAGATGCAGCTGGCAGCAGAGTAGAGATTCAAACCTATTTTTAGACCCCAAAGTCCATGCTATTCATCTTAGTTTACTACACTCCAGGAGGATGAGAGAATGATCTCCCAGTGAGTGAGGAAAGTCAAAGGTAACGGCTTACGATGCTGACTGCATTTGTTAGGATTAGGTTCAGCTGCTTATGTCAGAAACTTGGGAACAACACTGGCTTAAACACGATGAAGGAGATGAAAGCTTATTTCTCTCACACTTCAAAGGAATCTAGACACAGGAAGTCCAGGGCTAGCACATGAGCTCTATGGTAACTGGGGAGCCAAGGTCCTCATATCTTTCTGTCTAGCATCCTTATACCATAGCTTCCCTCCTCAAGGTAACTTCATGGTCCAGAATGGCTGATAGAGAGCCAGCCATTTCAGACTCTTTCCAGGTAGTTGACAGGAGGGAGAATTCTTCTCGCAGACGAGTTAGCTTTCTTTAAAGAGACTTCCAGGAAGTCCTGCACTCTTCTGCTTAGATTGTATTTGCTGGAAATTAATCTCATGATCAAATTAAGTGCAAGGGAGGTTGGAAAACGTAGTCTTTTTTTTTTTTTTAACTGTGCACCATTGCAAGTCTGAATAAAATAAAAGTTCCACTATCAATAAATAGAGTGCAGATAGTTATTGACTGGCAACCAGTAATCTCTGCCACATTGAAACTGCGGCCGGGCATTAGCTCCAGGGTGGATGGATGCTTACCAGCCAGCAACACAGAACAGTTCATGTGCCTCCCAGGGCTCTGTGGAAGGCTTTGAGATGGGAGCCTTCTGGCAGCACTGAAGATTTTGTCTCACCAGAGACTAAACACGTTGTTTCAAATAGGGAGTTTTTAAGCGTGCCTTTCAACCACGAGGTAACCATGAAGCTGAAAGGGCCAGTCCTTGTAAGTAGCCACTTTTGCTTAGGGTCTGCCAAACGCAAACCCTCCCTTTCCTGGGAGATGCACCTTCAGGGGAAGGAAATGATTTTACCACATTGGTGCCCTTGGTACAATGGGAAAATGTGAAGCAACCATCAAACACAGGAGTTTAGATGCCAAGTTTCTGAGTCCTGGCAACAGCAAACTCTATTCATCCTTCTCCACTCTCCTGCGGACACTCACCACACCTTCTGCAGAGGCAGAGGCTATGGGTTCTGGGCTGTCTACATCAAGGATCCCAACAGTCTTTGGGAGAAGCCCCCACGGTGGGTGGGGCCAGGGCCACTGGTGGGTAAGACTTGTGGGGGGAGGCCACAGCCAGCAGCTCCGGAGATGGAGGGAGCAGCACAGCCTCCTGCACCCTCACTGGAAAGTCCCCAAGAAGGGCTAAGCCATGCCTTCTTGTTTGGGATGGACACTCGCAGCCTTCAAAACCCTGCAGTTCACCACAAGGGAACCAGAATTAGCTCTGGGTGGTTTGGACAGCAGGTTTTATCACTAAATTGTCCACTTTTCTAATTATTTCAGCCTGGATCAGTTGCAAGGGAGGAGTTCTGAACCTTCTTTTCTGGTTATTGAGATTTTTATTTGTATCTCTCATAAAGAAGATGCAGCCCAGAAACACTTTTTTGTGGAGGAGGCGGGGGGTCAGACTTCATGACCAAAGGCAAAAATGAAACATGAACTACAAGAAAACATTTAAAGATGCCAGGGGGAAAAAGTTGTGGCAAGCAGCAAAGTTCATGCAATATAAATTATCATGGCATAAGATATTTTTGCGGAGGGACTATGCCCCGGGGGGGTCTCACTCTAAGAGATTGCAGATCGGTTGTGATTGGGTGGGCTCTGCTAAGCAAGGGAGAGTCGGGAAAAATTGTGACTCCTATATTTCATCAAACCTCAGAGATACACCATTATTTGTTTCATCCTAAAACATGGAAGAAAATGCTATTGATTAAATTATTTCTTGCCTCAGATTATAAATGAGTCCCAATATCAGAGGCGCTAGAATGTGGAAAAGAGATATGCCCATATAGTTGGTGAAATACGGTAACTAACCTTCATTCCTCACTCTGTCCAAAGCACACCTCTCTGGTGGGGCCCCTGCTGGGCTGGTTCTGGAATGGCCCTGGAGGACCTACATCCAGCAGCTCCCTGCCATCTGCACAGGCAGCAGAGATTTGAAACTTGGATGTGTCTTTCAATGCCTGAAGCTTGTTGAAAGAGAAAAGGAGACTTATTTAGTATGTCTGGCCTGGGAACCAAGACACTTCTATCTTATCTAGTACCTCACATGATTTTGATGCACTCAGATCCATAGACATTTAGGGAAACTCTCTGGAGTCTTCAGAAGTGGTTCAATAGACCAGGCACCAGAGCTTCTCTCCGTCCTTCCTGGCTCAGAGCACCTGTGCATGCTCGTGTGTCTCACTGGCTGGCCTTAGCCTTCTCTTCTCCTGACAACGTCCATTCATCCTTCGGGTCTCAGTCTAAGCCTTAGGTTCTGCAGCAGCTTCCCCAACCTGGCCAGGGAATGCAATCCCCCCAAATTCATTAAAACTTAATGCCCAAGATGATGGTTTTAGGAGGTGAGGCCTTCAGAAGGTGATGAGGTCAGGAAGGTAGAGCCCTCATGAATGAGATTAGTGCCCTCATAAAAGACACCCCAGAGAGCTCCCTTGTCTCTTCCACCACATGAGGACACAACGAGGTCTACAAACCAGAAGAAGGTCCTGACCCCCCAGGTCAGCACCCTGACTTCAGACATCCAGCCTCTAGAACTGTGAGAAATCGACTTCTGTGGTTTATAAACTACCCAATCTGTGGTATTTTGTTACAGCAGCCCAAACAGACTAAGATGGGTCAGGTAGCTCTGAGACACGCTTCTCCTACATGACACTTCAATGACTGTAATGAAATGTATTTAAAGTGTCAAATGTCACTGTCCCCTCCTCCTAGACACAAACATTGTGAGAGTTTGGATTGTGTCTATCTTGTGAATCCACGGGGCCTAACACAGTTCCTGCACATAGTGACAGCATAGATTATCAATAAACATTTTTTGAAGCAAGAGCACAGCCGTTCAGATGTTAAACAAAAGGCGGAAGTAGGGCCCACCAAGTCCTCTATTTTATTTCGGTAGAGCAGGAAGTCAACACCATAGAACAACAAAAATTTACAAGTCTGGAAGT